AGAGTGCTTATTCTTCTGAATTTGCAGGTTAGAAATCCTTTTTCCAACTGTGTACTTTTATATTGTTGGGATGTGTTTTAACAAGAATTCTACATAATTCACTTATTTTGAGAAATGGATGGGATATTTGACCCTGAAGGATAATTATACATGGGTCAATGATATTTTTAACATAAAAATTAATCCCCACAACCTGTAAGAGGTCACACATGTGTACACCATTCATTTTGATTCTGTAAGAAACAAAATGCTGATTCAGGGTGAAGGGAGGAAAAAGGAAAGAAACTTCTCCCTCCTCTATCCCCAGGCTGGTTAAGGCAAAGAGGGGATATACTGTGTAAGAGAACAAACTTCAAGTAAAACACAAGTGCAATAGGAGCATCTGCATTCATCAAATGAAAAGAGGCTTGGTGCACCACTCCACAGCAGAATCTATCTTGAAAATCCAGGCCTCATCAAAAGCTCTGCAAAACTCTACTTGCTAAATAAGAGATGTTCAGCCATGCATGGGTTTATTGGGAAAGATTATAAAGGAAGCTCCTGGCCCACATCACAATAATTCCAGTTTAAGAGGTTTCATTCTCTCTCTCTCCCCTGTGCAGGCATGACTGCCTAATAAAAATGGTGATTGCTTAAAAAAACAAACAAACAAAACCAAACAAAAAAAACCAACCAACCAAAACAAACAAACAAAAATCTACAGATTGTGAATTGCTCCTTAGAAGAGGGAAAAGAAAATAAAGAAATCCTGAACTACCTGGAGGTACCAGTGTTAGCATTTACTAATCAAAACGGTTTTATGGGCAACATGAGAATTGATCAAAGTAAAACAAATTCTTGGATTTTGGAAACTCATGATTTCCAAACAAATTCTAAATTATGACATTTTGTATCAGGGAGCTAAATGAGTACAACCTGAACACCAGGAATACTTGTTCAAAAAACTCTTCATTAAAGAATTTGTTGTGACAATTTGTACTAGAATTTGCCTGGGCATCAGACAGAAGCTCGTTTCAATAAGGAAATCAGTCAAACACCCTCAGTTACTCTCTGCCTTGAGTAGCATAAATTGGTAGAATATGTAAACTAAATATATGACAGGAACATTTTGCATTAAGAGAGATCTCTTATGGAGGGTGTCGAGGGCAGTGTCAAGTCTCCCTCAAATGCATTAACTCTCCAGTGCAGTTAAAATGGATGTTTTTTAACTTTTTCCCTTTTTTTCCTAAAAAAAAAAAAGAAAAAGTTTAAATTCAGGCAATGGAGTTGAACCACAGCATTTTAAGGAAAACAGTCTCTTTCTTTCTCTTGACATGCTGGAAGAGAAATAAGGAGTGCTGCTGGTGACACACAGCTGCATCTAGGGATGAGTAACTTTTTTCCCCTAATTTCCTTTGAAACAACCATACGCAGTTTTCAAGGCATAAAGTTTGTAATTGGTTATTTAACACAAAACAGTGAGACTTCCCAAGAAATAATTTAGAAGATCGATCAGCAATGATCAGCCTTCTTGGCACTAAGTCAGCTCTTTCCCCAGAGTGTCAGCACTACGAAGAAGACAAAGACTTCTTCCTTTATTTGTAAAATTAAGAACAGGAGACATTCATTAATCCCTGGTCATTCTTTATCATCATCCTTGGTTATCATTTTGAATAATTCAGGTTCTCAAAACAGTAGACTAATTGCAAGCAGCAGTTATCACATAAATGTTGCTCTGAAATGTTTTATGATGAGTCCTCTGACAACAGCAAACCAACAAAGTTCTTGTCAAAAAGCTACCAAGTTGCTTTTAGCTACTTTGAGTTTTCAACTCAACACTTATTTGTTGTAAAGACAACACTAAAATAGGTGTTACAGATCTCCAATAAATAATGACAGAAGTGGAAGAGGAGGATGCTTAATGATAACAAGTTTTGCTTTTCTTTAAATCTTGGCAAACATTAAGTGACATTCTAAAGATTTTTAACATCTAGCACGCCTCAGTTCGGCCCCAGAGTAATTACCCACATTCAGTTTTTGTTTAAAGAAAAAAAAAAAAATTATTCCTAGCCTTATCACCCCTTCCTACCACTCTACACCTGGTGCTGGACAGCTATACAGCTATAAACAAAATGGAGCAGTTACCAAAATCATAGAATCATAGAATAGATTGGGTTGGAAAAGACCTCCAAGATCATCAAGTCCAACCCCTGATCCAACTCCAATTACTATTGTGATTGCACACAGGATGATCTGCTCCATAACTCTGCCAGGCACCGAGGTCAGGCTGACAGGCCTGTAGTTACTAGGGTCAGCCTTGCAGCCTTTTTTATGGATTGGGATGATATTTGCCAACTTCCAATCATCTGGAACCTCCCCAGTGAGCCAGGACTGTTGGAAGATGATGGAGAGCGGCTTGGCAAGCTCTTCTGCCAGCTCCCTCATTACCCTAGGATGGATCCCGTCTGGTCCCATAGACTTGTGAGGATCCAGATGATTCAGTAAGTCACCAACTATTTCCTCCCGGAATACAAGGGGGC